TTCTGTTGCAAGACCATGGTGAGCGTGACATGATTCGACTGGCGTTCAGCCCTGATAATTTGATCCAGTCTTTGATTAACAAAGCCAAAACTGAGCTTGGTTTATGCAAACTGGCAGTGTCTGCTCCAATCTCACCTTCTCATGTGAACCAAGTTCCTGTTTCAGACCCACCTTTACAATTCACTCCATACACTTCTAATGTAACTCGACCAATTTCATCTCCGACACCTCTCGGAGCAGTGAATCCATTTAGGGACCCCCAACTGCCTGGTGATCAGCAACCGCTGCAAAATGTAGAATTTGTTCCACCAGGGTACTCTGATTCAGCTATTGAAGATTATCGCCTCCAAAATCAGATGCAGTTTTTGCCCGACTTTTCAAGCAATTATTGCTATCATGAACCTGCATTGAGTGTGAGAACTAGTCGAAGGTCTCCAAGTTTGCCTGAGTTTCCTCTTAAGGTTTGCCATTACTTCAATAAGGGGTTCTGTAAGCATGGGAGCAACTGCAGGTACTTCCATGGCCATCCCATGGCAGAGAGCTTTTCTCACCCGAATTTGAATGAGCTTTCAAATGATGATCATGTCGTCTCTCCTGGCTCCCTTGAAAAGCTGGAGATTGAAATAATTGAGCTTTTGAAATCAAGAAGAGGGTTCCCAATATCAATTGCCTCATTGCCAATGATGTATTATGAGAAATATGGGAGGACTTTACAGGCTGAGGGATACCTTACAGAGAGCCAGAGACATGGTAAGGCTGGCTATAGCCTTACAAAGCTTCTTGCTCGATTGAAGAACAGTATTCGACTCCTTGACAGGTAACTCTTTGTTAATTGCTAAAGGTTTTTATGCGTCATACGTTGCTTGCTAGAAGCGCTTGACTTGAGTTGTTATACAGGCCTCATGGACAGCACTCAGTCATATTGGCAGAAGATATCCCAAAATTCTTAGAGTATGCTGGTGAGAAAACTGAACCTGGTGGAATTATTGCTGGTTCTCGACAGATTTATCTTACTTTTCCAGCTGAGAGTAATTTCACAGAGCAAGATGTTTCCAACTACTTCAAGTAAGGATGTTTAAGGCATTTCATTTTCCTTTTCATAAGGAACTGTTATTGGAGTCATTTATCTCTTATTTGAATTTGCTTACACTTTGCTTATACTTTGACTCTTGGTCTACACAATTTTGATTTTTTTGTCATTATTTTGTAGCAAATATGGGCCGGTTCAAGATGTACGCATCCCATGTCAACAGAAGAGGATGTTTGGGTTTGTCACCTTTGTTTATGCAGAGACGGTCAGGCATATTTTGTCAAAAGGGAATCCCCATTTTGTATGTGGGGCTCGTGTTCTGGTGAAGCCTTACAGGGAAAAGTCTAGGCTTGTTGACAGGTAAAACTTTTCTATTTGTTCAAAGTTGAAGTAACCTTATCATCTTTATTGTGCTTAGATTTGAGCAGTATTTTTCTTTCTCAATCCTTTTCTTTTTAATACTATCTGGTTCATAAGCAAATAGTTATTGTCTGATATTTCCCACTATGTTTTTTTTTTTCCTACCATCGTAGCACCCTTATTGTCGGTGGCAGTTCAAATGAGGAAAGGCCTTTAGCCTTAGAATATTAACTAAAAGCACGTATAACATAAAATTTGTTCTCTAAATCGAGTAATGCTGTCCACTAGAATTAATTAGTATGATGTTCATATACCTTTGTCAATATCCTAGAATACTTATTGTCGGTTGTTGTGTTTTCCCTTAATCTCAGTCTAGAACTGTCATGACTGCATGTTATGACATTATGGTATGAAGAAAGTTTTCTGAGAAGAACCTCAATCTCTGACTGCATGAAATGTTTTCCCTTAATCTCAATCTTTTGGAAATGTTTCTGAAAACATCTGAGAAGAACCTTTGATAACAATAAAACAGAAAATTCTCTTATTTATTATATGAGAAGAACATTATGTTTTCCATGTCATCTCCTCTATGATTTTCAACTAGTATTTAAATTTCTGAAGTTTAAGCTATCTATCCAGGAAGTTTTCAGAGAAAATGCAGCATTCTATGTGCTACAATTCACATTTCATTGATGCTGATTCAGAGTTTTACTCAAGTAAGCAAATTTCAAATAAATGCAGTAATTATCTATTTTAGCCTTTTTGGGTTGTAAAATCACCTTACCTAATTCACGTTTATTTATCTGATTTGTACAGTGCCCAGAGTTTGTGAGAATGCAAGATTTTTAAGGAAGCAGTTCATGGAGGAAAATGAGCAAGCACTTGAACTTGAAAGAAGGCGTCTTTCGGAGATGCACTTAGCAGCTAAGCCCTTGTCCCATCATTTCTATTATGGCTACCCGATGGATGAGTTCAAACATCCAGAAGGTATACAATGCGACTTTTCGGTTTCTTTTGCGTAGCTTTTTTCTTGTTTCCTTTCCCAAACACGATTTCCTAGCTAATGTTTTTCCCTGATGTCACTGTAGTCCATGCAGAGCAAGCAGAATTCCCATCTGCAAAGGAATTTACTTATTTGCTGGATGTTTTGAATAATGGTTCCACCAGTGAGGGCAAAATCAGGCACGTAAACAGTAATTACAATGACCAGGATAGGTATACACACAGATGCTTGTTCAGATTGAAGTCATAGTACTTTTTCCAATTTTTTTTTAATCTGGGTTATTTGCTTAACCTCCCCTTTTCTTTGATGCTTGGTTTCTTATACCATGCAGCAGCCAAGGAATTAACCTTCCAGAGAGCCCATTTGCGTCTCCAATAGTGAGTGGCATATCAACAGTTATGTAGGGATTCAAACAAACCGTAATTATAGAGAGGTAGAGCACCGGATTCCTAGAATAAGACTAATTCGTGGTTTCGATACAACAGGGCCTTCATATTCTTCTATTTTCATTTTATTTTACCTTAACTTCATCGGTCTGTCAGCTAAGTAGAGTTCATACCATGAAGAAGAGAGAAATAGTAGAAGAGATTCTGTTCTTCCCCATGTTACACTGGGTGGAGGAGATTGCAGAGAAGAAAAGACACAAAAGCTAATATTGGACAGGTTTTTAAGCCTTTTACTTTTACTTTTTTTTATTTATAAAGAATGTAATCACAGAGGATGCAGCAAGTAAGAGGCCCTAGAGGGCTTGTGGGTTTTTAGAAGTGACTGAGATATAGTTTGCTTTAGTTGAAGAAGAACGTAAGTAGCAGTAAAAATATGCAGTGTGCGGAGTAAAGAAGAAAAGGTGTAGAGATCTCTGCAACACTGAGAAACAAATTCCAATAATTTATACGAAGTTTCTGTTGACCTCAGTACATATTAAAGCCCTTGCACTATATGGATGATGAGCTTTATTTATACATCTCTTTTATTATTTGTATGATTAGAAAAATTGTTCATTTTGTTCCCATGATTATATTTGAAGATCATTGTACATAAGGTTGGGCCATATTGGTCCACCCCCCTTCTATACATAATTATTATTTTTGGAATACAAATGAATAGTCTAACCTACAAAGGGATGAGGATTTCTCACACATACACTATTAAGGTATTATGGGGGTTTGAACCTGAGACCACTGGTATGCAAATCAAGGCCCTTTTCCACTGGGTTAGACCCCGTTGACTACTCATTATTCATTCTACCCACAAATAGGGGAATCAAAAGGTGCATAATTATATCATGGTATTTTATGCTTCGGTGGTTCTTGATCATTTTGTTTTCCTTCAATTTGTGCAACTTTTTCAGCAAAAGAAACATCTTATCGGTGCAGTAGTTAGAAAGCAAAGGAGCTCATTGGAGGCCAATATGATTATTAACAGTTTTTTTTTCTTAACGAGAGATTAGAATTTATAAATTGCATGTCCTAAAAGCGAGGGGTTGTGAAAGGAGGGGCCTTGATGTCGGCGCTTGATGAATGCAATGCAATGACAAGGGTGGACCTGACCTTTTGCTTTCCTTCTGGCTTGAAGACACAACCGGGGCCTCACTCTGATATTGTTTAAGATCTGTAGGACCCTTGTGACCCTTCACTATTACGATAGGGCACCAAAAGATGATATTTTTACTAAAGGTGGTATTATACAGCTCAGCTTCGTAAGCGTTAAGCCAAAGGGCTTTCTCTAAAATCCAAAAATTCCTCAAAATCCGAAGTGAAACATAAACTTTCAAGGTTGTCAAAGATGTGTGGTTGTTAGTAACCGGAAAAAAATAAAAAATAAAAAAATGTGTTGTTGTAGATCAACTTTACGTCAAATAGCATATTTAGAGTTAAATTTGTTGGTCAGGACAATGAATCCGCTTTCTTACACTCAAATTCGATTACATTTTTTCTGCAAATTAGACTATTTTTTGACATGGCACATTGAATTTTCAAAGGAGGTCCAGTATGATTTTGATGCAGCTAAACCTAAAATAGGTTTTTTGGCTGGCACTGATTGTTTGGTTTTGTCACATGATTTTGCCTGCTTAGGGCATTGAAATTAGGGATCAGAACCAGACTGATAAAATAGAGAATTTTTACTGAACATGAAAGCAGTCACGGCACTTCATCTCCACTGTGGATTCTGCTCTGTTTCTCGTACGTACTTTGATGTTCTTCCCAAGCTTCTCACTGCGCCAGTGCCCAGTGGACATACGTTTGAACCTTACAAGTTCACCAGTATGTATTTTAATTGGCAAAAACCAAAAAGAAAAATATATTTTAACCTTTTAATCAACAAATTCACTTCTATATATAAAAACTTGCCAAGCTACGGGACAAATCATTCTTTTGCAACGACAGAGATAACAGATGGAGTTGGTCCAGTTGGAAAACCAAGCAACTAGTCTAAAAACCACACAGCAGAATGAAAAGAACGTTTGCAAGTGGGTGTTTTGTGGCACTTAAAACCTTACATGCATGCCAACCCAAGGGCCAATAATCTTCAGCATTCATTATTCACTTTATCTGAAATGGGCTTTGTCAGTGTCAGATAAGGCAAACATGCTACAAGTATAAAACATTATATCTGCAAACCTGTAATCTCATTTGTATGGGAAAAATATTCTACAAGTATAGGCAAACAGCAGAAATGCTATAATGAGGAGTTTAGAGTAAGGAGTTCATCTGAGGAGTTCAATTCCACCATCAACAAATATGAGGAAACCAATGGACTTAAACATTTTAAGTGATTTGATGGTGGGATTGAACCCCTCAAATGAGCTCCTCACTCTGAACTCCCCATTGTAGAAGCTCCCATGCAAATAGCACCAAATAACATTGAAGTAGCATAATCAGTAGATTGATATACACCATATATAATTGGCATGGCAAAGGGGAAGACAACTTTGAAATTCAAGGAGACTCCACATTGGGATCTATTTGCCCAGTTGAAAGGGTATATAATCATAAATAGTGAACTCAACAACACAAGTTGGGCAGGGATCCTGAGAAGTTCGAAATCTTAGAAGAGCAAGCTAGCCCAACCAGCGATAAAAGCAAAGCCACCGAAAGGAGCCAACGTAGAATACTTTCTATCCTCAAGTAATGCCACAGTATAACACCTGCAAAAATGACCAAGTATTTCAATCAGCGTTCACTTCTGATAATATGAATACAGTACGGACACTTCCATGAATATTGTTTTGACAAAGCAAACAACTGGAAAAAGTCCGTTGGAATGACGCATGGACTCTGTACTCAAGGCATTACACTTCATTGTGCAGTTTGCTAAGCCATAAGTACCAGGAGATCAATTTATGGAGTCCAGAAGCAAAATGTTGGCAGACCAGAAATGTAACATGCATTTATATAATGTTACTCTTCCAGTTAACAAATTACAACATTTATCAGTCTAGAATCCTCATTACTCAGTGTAGAGGATTTTACCATACCAACAGACTAGGATGATTCCTAACTCTAGCATAATCATACAAACGTAGCTCTCTGGAAAGTAAATAAGTAGATCTTACTACATTGGTAGTGATACTTTTCTAGAAAAAGACCAATGAATTAAACCATAGGCAAGTCTTCTGACTTCCTTTGCGTCCTAACAAGTAACAAGGTGAGTGCTTTTAACCAATATGGAAAACCTCTAAAATTGAGATTCAAGGAACTTCATTGTGCAAGAAACTGAAATTTTGAGTGAATCTATTATGCAAAAACGTAGTGTTTTATAATCGAATTGAAGCTGTTGAATTAGATGAAAAATGAAGCGCAGAAGAATGGAATGGCACTTACGTCCCTGAGAATGCGAGTATTCCAGTAGTCAAAAGGCCTCCAAACTGGAAAACAAAGACAAAATTATCATATATGCTCATATATGAATTTGCAGACCAGTACCTAATTAACCAACATCACAACATACGAAGTTGAACAAACATCACATATCCCCTTTCAAAACCAAATAATGTTCAGTTTTGCAACTCCAAAAATGTGAAGGGTCAGACCCTTTAGATTACGGTATGAATTCAATTCATAGTAAAATGATAAAGGTTTGAACTTTGAACTCACAATGTTGGGGTGCTTCGTGATAGGGGCAGCAACCAGAGCGGCTGTGTGAACCAAATGGTAGAGAGACGCCGTTTGCCAAACCTACCCATTATTTGCAACGTAATTAAATGTCAGAAACTCAAGAATGAAGATACAAAAATGGACAATATGAGCTAAAATCAAATGGGCAAATAGTAAAATAGATGATGTACATCTTTGTAAGTTGGGTTTTCGGGTTTGAAGCCATGGGCGCCATATGTGCCCAACCCCAAAGCTGCCATTCCTGTTTTTCAATCAAAATCATATTTGGGGTTTGTCAGAAACAGAAAGACAATAAATATTCAAGTATGAGAGAGGAAAAAGGTAATACCAGAGAGCCCAGCTATTTTATGCCACAGTAGAGGATCCATTTTCGTTTCTTTATCTTGCCTGCTTCTTCAGTTTCTCTCACTTTCAGGTGTTCTAAGGGATCGGCACTGGTTGTGGAAAAGGATTGACTCGTTAGAGTTTATGGACTGAAACGACACCGTTTAGACAAAATATGCCCTTTATTTTTTTTATTTGGGGCTTGGTCTTTGTGGAGTTGGGACATTTTCCGCTGTTAGTTGAGCTTTTCCACCTCCATTCATGTGGGCATAGGTTTGAAATTCCCATCCACTCAATGAATATTTGTGCAAACTCCCCTCTCCAATCACTTGTACTTAAAAACACAATCTTTTCCGTATTTGAAACCGTGTTTATGCCCAAACAGAGACAAGCAAAATATAGCACAGAATATAAACAGAAACCATATGCGTATGTATTGTGCGATGCAATATGTTGGCAAGAATTCAGGCTAAAGATAAATTTGCACCAATGCAATAACTGTTGATTTCCCAATCTGTCCTGAATAGGTGTTACAACTATTTTGGACAAGTCACAAAGTATGAGGTAATCATGTAAACAAGCAGTCACTGGAATTGAAATTTTCGTCACAAGTTTTACTGGGTAAACATAAGCTCCCCTAGAATCATACGGGGTTTACGTTACGTTGGCCTCTAGCCAGGTGTGACATATTTGTACAGTTAAAACCTACAATTGCCTAAAAATGCTAAAATGAACTCCCAAGCAAATCTTGCTTCCCATGCCTATCCTTCTCTGCTTTTTAGTATGTTATGCTTAAGCCCTGGCTTCCACAGAAGCATGAAGCAGCTCGTCCGGAGTTGCAGCAGGATCCAGATCCCAACACTTACCAGGCAGGTTACTTTCTTCACCCTTGAGTAACCATGACGGCACCTGGTGCGAAAAACGTAGCATCTCTCTTCTCGGAATCAATTGAACGGCACTGCTGTCTATATTACTTTGATATACTGTCTTGAATCCATCCAGTTTGACAAGGGGCGACACGCAAACACCAAGCTCTTCGGAGTAATCATCAAGAACCTCCACCATTACATACTGGTGCCTCACTTCATCTGGAGTTGATCTGTCCCAATCTCTCGACCAGTTGCGATACATAGCCCAAATGTCTCCACGTTTCGGGTATATCCGAACACATCCTCCTCTACCTGCTTTCTCCCGGCTCAAAACATGAGAGAAAATATTAACTTGCTCAACTACATCAAGATTCCGTGCCCTGAAATTTCCACAGGATTTGGTAAACCCACAATCCAGCCAGTTCACCGACCCAAATTCACTGTCAGTTTTAGAGTTCAAGTAAGTGATGAGTATCTTGAATGGTTTGACTGAGACCACTTCACGTATCAGACAGTACAAGCGAGGCATACCATCTTCTTCGTCATATAAAGCCCATATTTGCTTTGGCTTGAAACATTCCTCTGACCTATCTTTGTCAAAGTCATGGAAGTCGGGATCAGGGACATTTATGGAGAGAGGCTCAGCATTCTTTGTCCCTAATTGATGTCCACGAGTTACTTCGGATTGACGCACTTCAACCTGTCCTTTTGTGTTCTTTATAGCAGCAGCCGCTTCTGAAGCCAAATTGATCTCATTTAATTTCTTCAAAATCTCTGTTCTTGCTTTCTCAATCAACAGCTTTTTAGCATCAAATGCTGGTGCCACTGAACAACGTCTAGCAAGAAGTTCTCCTGAACTAGGAATTTTCTGATCATTTCCTAGAGTCCCATTTCCATTTGCTAATTTTGCTTCTGAAGCAGATTTTGATACTCTTTCGTCATGCCCATTTCTAAAATTTGCTCCCACAGTAACTTTCCTTTTCTTATCCAGTCCATCGTTCTTAAATTCAGGCAGCTCATTACATCTAGGAGGCATATTCGAATTCATATTAGCCACAGCAGTTGTAGTGGAACGTTTTCCATTCGCCCTTGATTTAACCTTCACTCCAGCTTTATTAACATTTCCATTTGCCTGATAAACAGCATCAGGGGATATACCCGATGATCCGTGAGGACCCACAACACCAGTAGAGGTTCCAGGATATGAGCTCCACTGAAACGACATATTTGGAATATATTCATACCCGTGTCCAGAATGAAAACCTGAGACACCGTTTCCTGGGAAAAAGGTACCATTGCTTGGAACATACGTAGCCGCATCAAATCCATGATTCCCATACCCATTACTAGGCACATATGACCAAGGAGGAGGATAAGGAAAAGAACCATTTGCTGGGGCTTCCCCACTTTCCACAGCAATGAAAATGCCTCGGCAATTTTTACATGAAAGTCGTTTGTTCACATATTTCCGGAGATACTCATACTGAACCTTGCAAGAAGTGCAGACAGTCCAGAAAGTGTCAAGTCTACCATGAGATGCCGACGAATTGGAACAATTGTTGAAACCCGGAACCCCACCAGCATGAACGGAAGATAAATTAGGCTGATTAACTGTGGTTGTCGATTGTTTGTTTCTCTGAAGATCATAAAAGCTTCTCTTGGTAGTGTCGGACAACAAAGTCCATGCTTCGGAAACAAGTTTGAAAGCTCCATCAGCTCCCACACTTTTGTTCTTATCAGGATGGAGTAACACAGCCATCTTTCTGTATTGCTTCTTCACTGCATCTTTATTTGCAGAAGGTTTCAGTCCAAGAATTGAATAATGATCTATTTCCCCATAAAATCTTGCCTCGGAAGCAACATAAACATCAAATGTGGCCAGCATTTGAGATATGCCCTCCAGTCCAGGGTACAGTGATTTAGCCTTTAGTGCATAATGCTTAGCACCAGCATAGTCTCTCTCAGCAAATCGCTTCTCAGCGATCTCTTTTGCTATAAGAGCCTCCTCTATGTTAAATTCCATGTAGGAATATAGACAACTTTAAAACCAAAGATCTTCAAACAAAATCTATGACCAACCTAATGTGCACAAACTCGGAAATAGCCCAATTCTCATATGTAACCACATTTTCATTTCTGCAAAGACAAAGTAAGAATCACGATAAGTATCAAGCTTCAATTTTTTTCTCATTAGAACTGCCACTGGCTAATACAAATTTAACTAATTAAGACTTATTAATAACAATGAATGCAGAATCATATTTAAAAAATGAAATGCACAAATCATAAATCAAACCAAAAAGAAATTCGTAGTTCAAAATCTCAAACAGGAATTCATGCGAACCGATTTAAAATTAACCGAATTACCGTAAACAGCCAACAATAATTATCAAGATTTGACCTTCTTTACTAAAAAAAATTAGGACTCATGCAGCATAAATGCAAAAAATTAAGTTTTAATTTTCATCAGTTTTCTCGGCAGCCAAACAGCTTCAGCTGCCAAAATAAAAATTCTATTTCTTCAAACCACTAACACGCATGAAAATCAGCTCAATTTTCCAAATCAAGCCCATAATTCCACTAAATTTCACAGCTTTAAACAAATGCACGGAGATCGAAATCCAAAGCCACCATACTGAACTCCAAGATTAAAAATAGAGTACAAAATTGAAGTCCAGAGCACCGATTAGCACACAAAATAAAGTTTTTTCTTTAAAAAAAGGCACTCACTGAAACTTGAGCTGAATGAAGGTGAAGAAGACCCAGATCGCCACGTGTGCTTGGGAGCTCGAGCAAAATCAAGCTGAGCTAATTGCAAATCTCACTGTACATAAAGCACAAACACTGAGAGAAACTCATATTTTATAGCCCAAAGTGGAGGAGCTACCAAACAGTAAAGTTTCTTCCTTTAGGGCTTGAGCTGCGAAATCGGGTCACCGGGCATACGGATTCGGGTCGGGATGTATGATAACGGCGAACGACGGCGAGGATTTGGCGATTCCGTCGATATCGGTGTCGGAAATGGGACAAGATTTATTTTAGGTAATAAAATCGTTGAATTTTTTTTAATTTCAGTGAGAGTAAACAGTGCGTTAATAGTATTTAATGGTGGAGGGTGCTATTTTGCGCTGCCGTGCGTTATGGGCATCGAGTAACTTCTTTTCCGTTTCCATTAGGGGAGTGTTTGGTAGTGGGCACAAGTGGACTATGGAGATTAACCTAATTGTTAAATTTAATTAATTTTTTTTATGTATATAACAATTTGTTTAATTAGTTTATTGGCAGAGATTTGGTAATGGCTGCATTTGATTATTTATTCATTTACTCGCTAATAAATGGTTTTACATGATGATTAGAGATAATCATGTATGAAAATTAGTTGCACGAATAATAAAATTTTGAATTAATGAATTAATGAGCCACTAATTGTTTATTATTTTATGAGTAAATAAAACAAATCTTGGAGTTTGGAATCTTAACTGATATGACCGAGGCTGAAGAAAGCGTTCATGGATCTTCATACTCCTTGACTCAAGTTGAAGATTCATCAACTTTTGTTGGTATTTCCCTGCACATAGACAAATTTTCAAGATGCCATCATGTAAATCATTTCAAAATATCTTATTACAAACATTAATGGGAAAATTTTGAAAATGCAAATAGAAAATTTACCTTAAAAAAAAAAAGGTCGTACTCAGATCTGTTTTCTCTCGGATCAAATGAAATTTGAGCTCCTCGATAATTGAATAATGTCTATGAAAAGATTTACCTGATTCTTTTTCAAGATTTAGAGACCTAGATTTGTTTCCTCTCAGATCAAGTGAAATTTGAGCCCCTCGAGAGTCGAAGGGTATCCTTGAAAGATTTACCATATCATTTTTCGAGATCTTCATATCTAGCTCTGTTTCCTCTCGAATCAAGGGGGAATTTGGGTCCCTCGATAGTCGAATGACATCTTTGAGAAGATTTACCCTATCAACTTTCGATATCCTCATACCTAGATCTGTTTCCTCTCGGATCAAGGGGGAATTTAGGTCCCTTAATAGTTGAATTTGTGTCCTTTAGAAGATTTACCATATCAACTTCCGAGATCCTCATACCTATATATGTTTTCTCTCATATCAAGTGAATTTGGGTCCCCCAAGAGCTGAATGGTCTCGCTGACTATGTTGCATCACTAGCCAAACAAAGGTCGTGCGTGGAAATGTGGGGATCGATGAACTTCCATCATATCTAGTCTCCATTTTCCTGCGTGACGGTTTCCGTGGTCTCTAGTCGGCAATGTAAATCAAGTGTTTGGTTTGGGGCTTTTCTCCTTTTAGGTTTGATATATTATTGTTAGGTTTGAGGCTAAATCTAGTTCTAGATCGTTCCTTTTATTAATTGTTTATATTTTCTACGCAGCTATTTGGGCTATTATCTTTTTTACCAATGTTGGGCCTCTCTTGGCCCATGACTTGCTTTATAATTCTTTTGTTATTTATTGATGTTCTAACAGAAGTATCTTTCAAACCTTAAAACAACAAATTTGATATGTTAGTGTTTCATTTATTCATATATGCATTCATTTTCAACCTCATTCGTACAATGTCAAGTAAAATTAACACTCATTCATTTTCAACCTCATTCATTTTATTTTTATCTTTAAAATAACTCTAATATATTGTATTTTAGTTTTTGGTACATTGAAGAAATGCCTAGCCACATTCCATTGTTGGAATTCCATTTCTTAGTTTTAGCATTCATAACACTCCCAAAATCATGCTAGTGAACAAATCAAGTAGCTCATTAGAACATTAACAAAACAACACATGATTCCTTCTTTATTTTTCTATTTGGACATGTAAGCATTCCAAATTTGCTTAGCCTAATGTGGATGGTGGTATATAACTTTACTCCCTTGCATTACATGTTGGTAAAATTTGGAATTCCTCTAAAATAACAAATTTTCACTTGCTCTTTCCTTGTAGTGTAGAGATTTTTGATCCCTTACTTTAAACATTCACCTTTCTTTAGTTTTAAAAAAATAAAATAAAATTCAATAATGAACTTCTGAAAATGAATTGATATGAAGCAGAAAAGGTCAGGCGCTTTAATTGATTGTACTTCCACAATAGTATTACAGATCCTGCAACAAAACCTATGTGTAGATCATGGGATAATTGGATGGATAGGACTACACCACAGTTTGTCTGGTGCCCTTTTTCTTTTTCCCAATTGACATATTCTTCTCCTTTTTGGCCCAGAAGTCTTGTCTGGCATGTCCCAAGTTGAGATCTTTTTAGGACAGATATACCCAAAATCTTACAATATTATTGTTTCTTCTATATAAAAAAAGAAAAAGAAAAAGAGAGAGAGAGCTCTTCAATTATTATTTCCATGTTTTTCATTAAGATAAAGCTCAATAAGCATACTAATTACTAAATACCTATTATATATCTCGTTTGAATTTTAATCGTGAATAATTGACAGTCGTTGATCATTGACGTGTACCTTACTTTAAACAAGATAGCTCTTAGCATTGGCCCATGGACTAGGGGGAGATAAATGTGGAATGTCATCTTGGGATTTGAAAATGATGGGAAGGAAAACTGGTAGAAGATGTGGTGACCAAAATCTGAGTCTGATTGGGAATTGGAGTTGGGGGGAGGGTGTAAATGTAATATGTGACATAATGAGTCAATGATCAGCTGTTTGTTGGACCACCCAGTGAGATTAGATTAGGCTGCTTGGTGTAGGTTTGGTTCAGTCCCAATCAAACAGTTTGTGGCCCATATCTCACTTTATAACACTAATTCAACTCAACAGCTACCATTGCCCAATTGCTAACTGGCCTACATTATGTTTTTCTCACCAGGTTGTCTTTTTTATTAGGTCAAACTTGTCAAGGGCTTGGAACACTCCTCAAGTCCTCATGCCATTGCCCAACTGGGTATTTTTAAATTATATTTATTTAATTTTTTTTATCTTTTATTTTATTTTTTTATATAAAAATCTTCTATTGTATGCCCAACTGGCTTTGCTTATATTGGGCTATAGATATTGACATCTTTTTAATATTTAATAAAATAGTTAAAAAAAAATGACTGATCAACTGGATTCAAAATAAGCAGGCTACTAGTGGAACAAAAAAAAAAAAACACATGAAAAAGCAATCGTTTTCATATATTTGTGAGTGTTTTTTTTTACAAGCGATATTAAAGGAGGAAGATTTAAACAGAGAAAGTTGGGTGAACGGATGATTGGTCTTAACCATTTTTTATATTTTTTAATTGAAAAAAGAGAAATGGGCTTGTATTGGAATCTCTTTGTATATAGAAACAAAAGGAAAAGAGAATCCACTCAGCTTTGGCACTACCCACCTTCATTGTCAAGGCCTGCTTAGCCTAAAGCCAAAGATTCTGACTTCCAAATGTATTTTAAAATTAAATTAATAAATAAACAAAATATACCAATTCCTAAGAAGAAAATTACAACAATTTTACTATAATAATTAAGCATAGGAAGTAGGTAACTATCATCTCACACTTTTTCCCACCTCCAAAATAAATCAAGTGACAATTATTTAAATACCCAATAATAATAAATAAAATATAAAAAAATTTATTTATTTTTTTCTAAATAAAAATTGATATGTATACTAAATCACTAAATTAATACCAGTACTATTAACCCTCATCAGGACCCACTACAGTCAAAACAGCGAAAAAGTCAACGAATCAGACGTTCACGGTGTTGCAGAGGAACATGAGGGACGATGCGGACGCATCCCCGCCGCCACCGCCGCCGCCGCTTCCGAGCCTGCCGCTTCTCTCGTAGTAGTCGACGCAGAACAAGGAGAGCGAGAGCTGGACCTCGTCCCGAGTCCATACTCGCCTGACCAGGTCCGAGTCGCTGAGTCGACTCAGGACGGGGCGGACGCAGACCCTGTAGAGGCGCTTGTAGCCTCCGAGGGCGACGACGACGGGGCGGACGGAGGAGGGGGGAGGGGAGGACACGTGGCGGAAGCAGAGGTGTTCCCAGAGGGAGTCGTTGCGGGCGAGGGTGGACCAGAGGCGGCAGACGCAGGCGGCGACGCCGAGGGAGGGCCCGTCGAGGCGTTTGAGGATCTCGACGAGGATGTCAATGTGGTCGTTGATGAAGAACTTGGACCTTTTCTCTTTGTCTTCTGAAGATGGTGTCTTCTGATGATGCATGGTGTTTTTGATGGGGTGACTGAGGTATGACATGCTAACTGTAGCTCAAAACACTTGCACTAGAGAGAGAGAGAGAGAGAAGGGGAGGGAGAGAGAGAGAGAGAGAAGATAGTGGAGAGAGACTCATGGGTGTATATATATTTATATAGACTTGTGCATGAAAATGTGAGATGAGAGTGTTTTGTAGTTATAAAGTGGGGGGTTTAGCCGTTAAGGGGTTTTGACTTGTGCATGAGAGAGAGAGAGAGAGAGTGTTTTCTTTTGATTTTTGGTTGAGAACCTTAGGATAAGCTAGTTGATATTAGATACCAATTTACAGTATCTGATTATTTAGCTGATAGTTTCAGTATACGAGTAGATACTATAAATTAATACTCGCACCAACTAATCACTTTCACTTAATTAATTGATCGATGATTTTTATAAAGAAAACGTTATTCGCACTTCTAATTTGTCATTCTGAAACAAAATGTAAATATGATTAACATTTGATTTTTATTATATGTAACAAAAAATACGAGAGTTTTACTGATTAAACAAAAAGAAAATGAAGTTTTGGTGAGAGTTTAGAGTTGGAGAGGGATATCATAGGATGGAAGGGGTACGTAGAAGTGTGTGTGATGTGATTGTGTGGTGGGTATCGAGGGAAGAGAGAAGGGGCCAAAGGAAAAGTTCCAAGGCACAAATAACTGGAACCAATGCTGACTGTTTTGCTTTTTCCTCTTTTCTCGCTTTTAAATATTGTTTTTTGGGGTCAAGTAGATTTGTTGTTTGTTGTTTTTGTTGTTTTTATATTTGTTATTGTGTGTGTAGTGTAGCTGTGAATTCTTCAAGACTTTGGTTTTAAGGCCGTTGTGAAATAAGTTTGGCCAATCTACAGAATTGAGCCGTGCCTCGATATTGGTCTGCAAGTCTATGGTTACTATTAAGCTTAGGGGTGGACCTAGTAGGTAGAGTAGTGGGGTCCTGTAGCTGTAGGGTGTGTGTTCATATTTCAATTTTAAAAGGCGGAGGACACTCGTTCGAATTCCGCAACTCATTCGTCTCGTGCTCACACGCGATTGACGCTAGCGTTTTTTTTCACGGTTGTCATCAAAACAATCCACTCTCACTATATTCAACTCTAATAGGTTCATTTTCAGCTAATAATTTGCTTAATTAATTGTGGATTTCAATTGAAAAGGTAAAAGAAACCATATGCTGCATCAGATTCAGAACATGAGTTTCATCTTTCTACCTCTTCTTCTTCTTCCAAGGAACACCAAAAAGTCACATATCACATAGGAGGCTGTGTTTTCCAGTTTCCTCTGCAAGAAAATAATGTGGCATTGGATACCAACCACAGCAATAGAAGACTTTTTAGATGATGATGAGGCAGCAGCTATCTGTTTGTCTTCATGGGGTTGGAATTTGGCTCAGAAAGGAAACCCCCAAGTCCTTTTAGACAGAAAGCATATAACAAAATAATATCAATAAAATACAGAGAGAGATTTGACATTAGATTTTATAAAGACACAAGGATGGATGGCTGTGTCTACCCCACACCCCTGCATGCATTTAGAGACGAGTGTCATGGGGAGTTGTTTTGAATTGTCTTGGACTTGTTTGTTGGACACATTCGAATGAGAGAAGCACTGTTTTCTATTCTTTGCTTGCAGTGCAAAGAATTTGATAATTGCAAAACTACAAGCACATCAAACCTGTGAACAGCACATGACATTTTTCACAATTTCACTCACTTCCCTGAAGACTGTCATTTGTTGTATTTTGTTGTTGTAAAGTATGTGCCACATAAATAGGTCAACATGTATATTATTATTACATAGAATTTCCTCCTACCATCTGATTCAAATCAGCACATTGGCACTCAGATCTATGGCCCAAAAGAGTTCATCATATTTTGGGTTTTCTTGAAAAGTTGCTCTCTCTCTCTCTCTCTCTCTCTCTCTCTCTCTCTCATGTGTTTAGTATTTAGTTTTTGCTTTTTAATATGATATTCTTTTGGGGTTAGGAAAGTCAAGTTGAATAAACTAAGCATTCATTGAGAGACTCTTTGAACAATCACATAGGAATAGGGTTAAGAAGTTGGAAACAATGTGATCCAAACAAACAAGCAGCAGGGAAAAGGTAAACAGAAAAAGACTTGGAAAACAAACAATGAAATTACAGCCAGAGTTGACATACTAGCCTAACTGCTCTCTTAGCTACAAGTGAGCCACTGTAGAATCTATGGCTTCACCTGTTTGGGAAATTTAGCCACAAATGCATGTAGTTTTTCTTTGTGGCCTTGTTCTTGCCATGGGATATATTAAGGGTTTGTTGGTCATTCAAAAGTTTTCATGGGGTATTTTTGTAAGAAAATTTCTTAATTCATGTTACAAAGTGATTACAAGATACAGCCAAAATCTTCTGGTTGGTAAACAAGTAAATGAAGGCAGCAATGCAAGTAAAATTTTGGCTTCAACATTTTAAAATCATGTGTCTTTCTTAATAAGAATCAAGAGAAGAACAGAGAAGGCAGAGAAGGACAGAGAAGAACCTCAAGAGAGTTGGCAAATTACCTACTAGAAGTTGATAGTAAGCATTAAGCATCCAAATATTGGGTACTTAATTAAGAACAACAATACAGGAAATCAAAGAAACTAAGCAAACAGGAAACAGAAAATGTAGTTCGTAGCTAGTCGAAAACGTACACTACTTTTTTGTATTCGTACAGAAACATATTACAAACATTGTTGAACAAATTAATACAAGCAACTTACAGCACCACAAATTAATACAAGCAAATTACACCACCACCCTTATTGTAATAAAACAGAATGCACCAGACCCCATACAAGAATTCAAAACAACAACAGCAGCAGCTGCAAGATAAAAGTACTTAGTTTCTGTGTCCTCTCTTCCCCCGTGTGCCTCTTGGCTGCCTCTTCCTGCTAAATTTCTCTAAAAACCATTCATGATTCTTGCTTGTCCAAAAGTTCCCAGCAACCACTCCAACTATTAGACCACTAACAACTCCTGGCAGAACCACATACCAATCTAGTGCAATTTGAAACCCAGAATCTTCATCTTCTTCAAAGATTGATGGCGGTAGCGATATTGAGCTATCACATTTCTTTGACAAAGGCTTTCCACACAGACCTGAGTTTCCTTGGTATGAATCTTCTAGGAATGTACCAAATTGTTGGCCAAGTGGTATAGGACCCCAAAGATGGTTATAGGATACATTGAAATATTCAAGGAAA